AAATATATATTTAAATTTAAACTAATACTTAAAAAAAATAAAAAACAAAGCAAAGAAGTGCCCATACAACTCTGTCACATGAGTATACATTACAGACCTTCAAGGGCTTTTTTTTATAGTTAATATATGAAAACACTATCCAATGAATACAGGCACACAAAAGTAGTCTGAAAGGGAGCCCAGAAGTAAAAAATCTAAATGCTTTCTCAGAAAGTACTCACTTAGTATGCATATACAGAAGGGTGTATAAAATGTTTGAGAGATGTATATGTTTAGAGAGATCTCATGAATATACAAAACCATTTTGCCAGCTACAAAAGGTTAGCAAAATTTGAAGACCACCTGATTCAGCACTTTCAGTATTCTGATTAAAATATTCAGTCCATAATACATAGTAATATGCACAACCATTTTACCAGTGTTCTCAAAATTTCGTAATTCAACAACTGTGCAAGTATACATTATCAGGCCTCACTGATTTTACTGACACATAGCACACTTGAAATGGAGTAAAACCAAGTGCTGTGCTTAACAGGGGCTAATTTCACAATATCCAGGAGGTCCATTTTCCTTAAAATTCAACTTTAGCAAGTCTACTTGCAAGATTATTAATGCCAGGTCACAGTAAAGTGAGAGTGTTATGCAAGGTTACAGCCAAAAATACTAAAGTCATACACACTTTTAGGAAACATAAGTATGCTAAATTATATCAAGTCATTAAATGCATATATGATTTTAATAAGTATATTTTTTAGCTGGAAGACATCTTCTCCTGGTGTGTTTGCAGGTTTGCCTGAAGAATCTTTTTCTGTATTGCACAAAGCATCTGCAGTGGAAGACGTGTTGTTTGTGACTGGGTTAGCAGTGTACCTGTGTAATATTTGCTCAAGTCTCTGAATACCTGTAGAAGGGAAATAGAAAGGGAAATACTGACTGGGCATATGGGAAAAAAATTCACCACAAGAGTGGTTAAACACTGAAACGGGTTGCTCAAGGAGGCTGCGTAATCTCCATGTTTACACAATCTCAAAACTTGACTGAACAAGACCCTGAGCAACCTGTTCTCTGGCTTAGAGACTGGCCCTGCCTTGAGCAGGAAGTTGTACCAGATGACCCAAGAGTTTCCTTTCAATCTACATTTTTCTCTGACTCTATATGCTCCCATTACTTCACAGACATCCCCTTTGCTAATGAGATAAAGCATCCATTCAAGGTTACGTATTTTACAGCATAAGAGATGGATACATTTTTCATATCCAGCATGACCACATAAAAATGAGGGATGGTGAGGAATTCCCACATGCTATAAAGCATAATTTGAAAGAGTAAAAATCCTTTCACATAAAATTTTGTTCCTTATTTCTGATAGAGTAAAAATAAATTTTAAAATTAAATTCTGAAAGCTTTAGATGTTTAACATAATCCAACATAAGTGCTTTGTAACTGATGCTCTGGGCCAATCTAGTATTTCTCAGTTCATACAAACTCTAAAAATGTCCCTCGCAAGCTGGAGAGAATAATTAGGTTTGAACTCATTATTTATAATGTTAACATTTCTGAAAACTTGCGTACTACTACATGCCATATTAGAAGTAAAAACCACACAAACAAATCTTATCTACAGAATCGGAGAAAAACAGTCTAAACCATCCAGGTTCATAACAATAAAAAGCTTTTCTAGGGCTAATCAGGAATTTTTTATCAAAAAGCTTCTGCCATAATTCAAGTTCAGCTTCAAATGTCTGTGATCTTAAGAGCTAAAAGAAGAAAATAATTTTTTATTAAAGGTTGAACAAGTTCATAAATTCATTGAAATGATTTTCCAGGACCTGACACTAAAGTGTGTAACAACATGCACAAGTAATTTTTACATTCCCAATTTTTACATTCCCACCCCTTTTCAAACTTCTTACATACTTTTCTGAAGTCTACCCACACCTAGAGTCCTCCTGAACAGGTATTCCAACATCTGCAAGCCCATCCACAAGAATAAGCTGTGCTTCTTTAAGTACCTTTTTGTTGGTGGGAAAAACCACATTATCTAACCAATCTATCAAAGCAAGAAAAGTATAAATCTGTTTTATTTCCACCTGCAATGGAAAAATAAAACAGTTCAATGGAAACATTTCTAGTCCCTGAGGCTAACCTCTGTCCCTAAGGAACTGACTGAGAACATGCTGAAGAGGTCCAGGACAGCTATGGAAGACAGCCAGTTGATTCACAGCTTTCTGAATTTCATGATTTCTGGTGTACAATACTACTATTGTACTATTGTACTATTGCAACCCTGGTACAACTCGTACCAAGATCCTTCTTCAAAAGAAGAGAGAGAAGTGCAATATTTACTTTATGTTTGTGCTTTGTCAAGCCACCAAGTCTAGAGTCATTTTGATGCATAGGAAAAAAAAACCCGTCTGGAATAAATTGTCAACATTGCCAAATGGAGTCCCAAGTGTGATAAAAACCAGCCAGCAACTTCCAAACAACCCTGTGGCAGGGAGGTCAGTGGCTTTAACAGGGTTGCTTTACAGGCCAACAACTGAAAACATGTTTTGGCTCATTCCCTTGGGTTGTTCCCATTCTACCCCACTATAGTTTCCAAGCAGTCATCAGTTTACTGTTCCCTCCAAGAGAAGAAAAGGCAAAATACTACAGATCTAGAATGTGCTTATATGTTTCAATGCCTTTAATACATATGCATTAACTGTTGCTGTTAAGTAGATCCCAAATTAAACTCTGAACTTTAACAAATTTTACACTACCAAAGAAGAAAACAAATTAATAAACAAAGAGAAACTCAGTTTGGCACCTATAACACGAATTATGTCAGAATAGCCCAACTCATTTTTGTGGAGAAATATCTTAAATTAAAACACAAACTTAGTATTTTGACTTACCTTGCTAAAACTCCACATAAAATGTGTCTGTTCTGGATCTGGTAAACTGAATGAGAAAAGAGGAAGACAAGAACTGTTGCTATAAGAAGAACAAGTTATGCAGGTTACAAAAATGTTTACATTTGTAACACTGTAGTAATTTTTTAGTAAACCTGGTATATAATCCTTTAAAGTGACATGACATTTTTTCAGAGATCTTTTAACAAAACATTATCTTATGGCACTGATCTCCCAAGTGTGTGCTGAGGCACTGATTCATACAATAAAACCCCAGAACGGATCTGCACCAAGATGTAATGGTCCAGTTGAAATCCCAGATTCCCACTGCATAGTTAGCGATCATGCCCAAATTAAAACAAAAGCCGTATTTCCATAAGTGATGCACAACTGCTCTTGTACTTGATGGAGAATTGTTTGCTCAGCT